CCCCCTCTCATGTGCTCTCTCTCATTCTCTCTCTCTCAAATAAATAAATAAGATCTTTAAGAAAAAAAAAAAAAAGCCAGACCAGAATGGGTCACTTGCCACCAGCCACTGCCTCAGCTTTTACCACGCTCACCCTCCAGGGCTGAAAGGTGAACCGTCGTGACTTTTATCTCATACATGTGAAAATCTCTGGGTGTTTATAAGCTGCATAAATATTCCTGAATGTCTACTCTGTTGTTGGCACTGTTTTAGTTGCCTAGGACACAATAGTTGATAAGATTGATGGAGATCCTGACCTCTTGGAGCTTACGTTTCAGCAAGTGAGAGGATAATACACATGAAAACAAGAAAATACGTAATCTCCAAAAGGGGTGAGTGCTATGAAAATAAAAGCAGCCCGAGAGGGGGTCAGCGTAGAGGAAATGCACACACAAATCCACACAGGTCACCGAGGGAGCTGGGATGTTGCAAACACTGTAATCGTGTATGGTAACAGTGAGGTCCCACCTCTCCGTGTTTGTAATGATGACCTGGCATCTCGAGTGTTCGAATGAAGGAGTGATGTAAAGCAAGGCCTAGGATGACCACATTGGCTTATGGGCACAAAGGACAGGCATCTACACAGAGAGAGAACAATGATGCTGACATGGAATGAGAGGAAACAAGAGACCATGGGGACTTGCAGAGGGAGCCTAATTTTGTGTTCTGGTTATTACTGCTGTATGAAATATCCCATTATGGTATATGCTCATGGATTCTGCGGGTCAGGAATTCAGACAGAGCATAGGGGGATGGTCTGTATTTGCTCCGCAATGTCTGTACCTCCCTCTGCTAGGAAGACTCCAGGGCCAGGGCTGGAGTGACCCGAGGGTCATTCACTCCCTGGCATGTCTGACCTAGACCGGGAAACATGAAGATGGGGACTGATGACCAGAACAGCCATCCTTGGGCTCACGTGGCTCAGCTTTCTCAGAACGTGGTGGCTTCAGGATAATGACTTCTGACATGGTGGCTCAGGATTCCTGGGGTGCGTGTTCCAGAAAACGAGGTTTGCATGGCTTTTGTGACCCAGCCTCAGAAGTCACATGGGGTCACCTCTGCCACACTGTTGGTTGAAGTAGTCACAGGCAGCCCCTGAGTCAAGGGAAGTGGACATGGACCAATGAGTTCTCATGGAGTCAACTTGAGCTGAATTGAGAAGTGTTAAAGGATTTTAGGGCCATGTTTTAAAACTGCCATTTCTAGTTTTCTGTTTTGGGTTCTGGTGCCTCATGAAATCTGGCTTCCAGCCTGTGGGTTTTATCCAATAGCCCTGTGTCCTTTCCGTCCTCCTTTGCTCAACCTCTTTTGGGTGTCCTTTTCAAACAGGTGATCCCTGCCTAAGACAGGACTTACACTTACATTGGGAGATAAGATCTTCACTTCTATCACAAGGGGGTAACTTTGACGATTGTAGAAACAGTTAAAGTCCAATGTGCATGGCGCTGCAAGCTCTCCAAGGGCAGAGGTGGAGGGAAGGAGACCACTAGAAGGGCCAGGACCAGCTGGTGGAGAAGGAGGCCCTTAAAATGGTTCTTGGTAGAGGAACTCCAGTGGGAAATGCAGGCCACAGCCTGCCATACTCACTCTCACAAGGAGGATCCCCGACAAAATCCAGTGCTAGCAAAGCCACGGAAATGTCTGCTAACTTACGAACGAGAGTGTATGACTTGGTGAAAAGCGAGTTTGGGCTAGAAGAATTTTCTGAATCTGACCACCTTCAAATGAAAAATTAGATTTTAGCAATCTAGTTCTTTATCTCCAGGAAGCTCTTTAGATACACTTTTTAGGGGGAAAACTCTGTGGCATGTCTACCTTGCTTACGCCAGGGTTCACAACAGGCACACAGGGACCCTGGTACAATGGCTCGCCTCCCTCCCCTTTCTAGTTGGCTGAGTTGTCAGACATGTTTCTGAAGACAAAGATCTCTGCTTCTTGGACGCATCCGTCCTCCCCACCCAGGGCACCAAGTGCCATCCCAGGAAGAGTTTGTCCCTGGCCCCTCGCCCAATCCTCCCTCCGGTTAGTAAGGTTCAGGTACAGGTTCCTTCATTCCCGCCTTTGACCAGTAGGGGGTGGCAGACTTGGTTGCGGACCAGGTCTTGAATGCTGGCGATGAGAACACCGCCCTCTGGGGGCTCTTTCTCACTCCAGTGCTGGGTTTAGGTGGTTTGGAGTCTGCCCACAGGACAGATGCATCTCTGTGGTTATGTGGCCATGTGGAAATTCAACACACTCCAATTTCAATCATAATCGCGATGTCTCCCCAAAGGCAGCTGGATCTTAGAATGTGACCCCAAATCCCGAAAGTCCTGAGTGGTCTGGCCCCTGCCGACCTCCTGGACCACTGCTCATGATGCTCCTAAACGCACTGGCGTCCTCTCTGCCCCTGACTCTGCCAAGCTCATTCCTGCCTGGGGGCTTTTGGATTTGCTGCTTCCTCCCTGCCGTGCTCCTGGCTCAGCCTTCCACTTGGTGTAGCTCAAACCTCCCCTCCTCAGAGAGGCCGTCCCAGCCACCCTTGCCAACGCTGCTCACCCTCTGCAGTCCCCCTTGATTGCCTTACTCTGCTGCATTTGCTTTCAAAGCATTTTCCACTATCTGAAATCATTGTATTTGTTACCTGTTTTTTTTTTTTTTTCTGTCTCTCCCCATAGCACAGACAATGTTGGCTGCCCAACCAGTATCCATTTTCCTTTTCCACCTTCCGAAAAGAAGCCTGTTTGTTCAGACCACCTTCCCTCGTTGTTGTGGGCTGAACTCTGTCCCCACCCCCCTCCAAAATTCCTAACAACAAAAGGAAGTCCTAATCCCTAGTACCTCAGAATGTGACTGTATTTGGAGACAGGGTCTTTAAAGAGGTAATTCAGTTAAAATGAGGTCATTAGGGGCGCCTGGTTAGCTCAGTTAGTTAAACGTCCACCTTCGGCTTAGGTCATGATCCCAGGGTCCTAGGATCAAATCCCACATCAGGCTCCCTGCTTCTCCCTCTCCCTCTGCCCCACCCCTGCTCCTACGCTTGTGTGCTCTCTCACAAAAATAAATAAATCTTTTTTAAAAAATAAAAAGAGATTAGGAAAGAGCTACACACAGAGGGAAGACCATATGAGGACAGAGGGAGAAGACAGACATCCGCAAGTCAAGGAGCAAGGGCTCAAAAGAAATCAACCTTGCTGACACCTTGACCTCAGACTTCTAGTCCCCAGAATTGTGAGGAAATCGTTTTGTTGTTACATCACCCGGTCTTCAGGAGTCTGTTATGGCAGCCCTGGCCAACAAATACACTCCTTATTCCAGCCTGTCTTAGGGGAAGGGGACCACTGTACCTCCCACCTTCCAGGCCCCAAGGCAACATAGTGCGTCATCCTTGGCTGATGAATGTCGGAGACCCAGACTGGAGCCAGCCCTGCAGGGCATTGCCCAGGTGAGTGCTATATATCCAGGAATTGTCCCAGGCAGAGAGAAGGGAAGGGCTTTCTTACAATATGGTTGGAAAGGTCTCTTCTCCACTGAATGGGAGGAAATATGTCATCACAGTTGCTGCTGGAAGCCTTTTTTTTTTTTTTTTGACAACAAGAGAAGAGAGTAGAAGGGAAAAGCTTCTTGGCTAAAAGCAGAGCCAAGGGAAATGGAGCTGGGGTCCCGGTTAAATACACCTGAACCTTTCCCACCTCTGGACTTCCTGTTATATGAGATAATGTGGTTGTGGTGTCAGTGGGCTGGAGATGGGAGTCCTTGTTGTTTGTAGCCCAATACAGCCTGGATCTAACCAGCCTGACTCCCAGCTCGAGAGCAGGCATCTCGTCTGCACACCCACTGATGTGGCCCCAGCATCTGCCTGCTCACAGAAGATGCTCAATACTTGTCCATCAACTGACGACCGAAGAACCTGAAATCATGAGGTCCTGTGTGAATATAGTAAGAGGGACCACCCATCGCTGCCATAAACAACCTGGCTTTAATTCAGCTTGTAAAGAGCAGGGCCCTGAGACAATAGCTTGGGAAGGGAATATTAGAGGAATAGGAAGAAAAACAGGAGTGAGGGCCTCCTATAGATGGAAATTCTTAATGGGAAACCTGTGAACAAGGTGATGGACAAGCCACAAAATAGAGAAATGGCGTTCCTGGCAGACACTGTGAATTTGGTGAGATCTTTCCTATTCTCCCACCTCTAGGGCCACGGTAGGCCTGCACTTCTGTCCCCCGTGGTTGGGGGTGGGACCAGTCCTGGCTAAGAGGTGGTGCACGTCTCTTCAGGGCCAAGGACTGGGCTGTAGCAGTG